GGCAAACTCCTCGTTTGCTTTTTCCGTTCCTCTGCAAATTAAGGTTGGCCTTCAAACGCGTACTCCACTCAAATAATCATGGTAGTTCAATGTTGCAAGTACTTGCAATTGCGGAAAGAGGTAGAAACCACCGAGAAGATATAATTTACATAGATAATTGAATAAATTTGATTGCTTTTTAAAGATGATATTTGTCGCTCCAAATAGTCCCATAATTTTAAATCTAGTAACTTGAATGAATTGAAGGTATAGCTATATAATTGTATGTGCGAGCCGCTTAATTCGAAAAGCAGCGTTAATTAAAAACGAATGCCAAAGATATTTTTCCTCCAATTTTGTTCTTTACAATTCGTTAGCTGATTAATGCAGACCTTTCGATAGAATAAAGTCTGCAAGAGAATTGAGGGACACTAATATGAATCATGAAATAAATTTCGGTAAAGGTTCTGCTAAATTTGGGGATATTTTTCTCTCATTGGCGTAATTTGCCTGATTCTCCTTATTAATTTATTTTTTATATAATTATTTAATATTTCACGGTACAATTTTGAGCCGAATTCTTATAGAATTCAGTTCGGCAGCTAGAATGACTTAATTTAAAGGCCATTTGTATAATTTCTGGTTCCAGCTAAATTGCTTTTAGCTTTTGAAAATAAAGCGTTTATGTTGCGGCTATAGAGAGCTTGAAATCATTTGTAAAGAAGGAGACGTGAAATATTTTTACGAACCACGATTAACGAACCACGATTAACGAACCACGATTAACGAACCACGATTAACGAACCACGCATTTCATCTAAAGTTAGCAATATTTTTTTTATAAATGGATAAAAGATAATCCGAGCACACTAGTTTAATAATGATTAAGAGAAAATATAAGAAGTTATCGAAAATCCAGTGAAGAAAGCGGCAAAATTTTGACTCGCTCATGCAAGATAATTTTGTTACATGCCTCTAATTATCTCTTATCTTCAAATAATAATTATTAATATAAACTAGCAAGAAATAAGTTAATAATTAGTTGAAGCCTTTTGTTGAGAGCCGCGTTAGCAGGTGTGTGGAAAGATAGGGGTGCGTTATCACTGCTGATTGATGAGGAGTCAGGAAGAGAGAGGGGAGGAGAGGCGTACCTAATGACCTCCCTCGGGAGTCTGACCTGTTACGACCGAGGGTACGTGACGAGCAGCCACCCGTTCATCTGGAGTACGATACAACAATTAGCTTATGAAGATACTAACACTAATTGTAAGCCGCTGATAGTTTTGTTCGCTAATATTACCACTATGTCACTAATAATAAGTCATTTCCATTGGTTAGTTTAGTTACTTATAATTACTTAGTTTTTAATGTTTAGTAACTAATTCGAGCGGCCATGCGTTCATCTGCAGTACGATACCACAATTAGCTTATGAAGATGCTAACACTAGTTTTTAAGTCGCTGATAGTTTTGTTCACTAATAATACCACTATGTCACTAATAATAAGTCATTTCCATTGGTTAGTTTAGTTACTTATAATTACTTAGTTTTTAATGTTAAGTAACTAATTCGAGCGGCCATGCGTTCATCTGGAGTATGATACAACAATTAGCTTATGAAGATACTAACACTAGTTTTTGAGTCGCTGATAGTTGTTGTGTACTCATAATACCACTATGTCACTAATAATAAGTCACTTCTATTGGTTAGTTACTTTTAGTCACTTAGTTTTCAATTTTTAGGGACTAATTATTATTTATTAAGACCACTTTAATGCCATGACACTACGGGCTGAAATACATATATGTATATATAGGGTAGACTGCATGACCAACGTAACATCCATGAGGCTTTACTAGTCGTGGACGAACAATGAACATTTATCTTCAAAACTGTTACACTCACCAAGGGCTGGTTTGTAATTATTATCACATAACTTCTGACAAGAAAGCAGCAAAGCGAGCATTAGTGTGAGTATTGAGAAGCTCTGTCTATGGTTATTCATTTATTGGATCGCAATATTATTTCTATTGGCGAAAATGTGTGCAATCCATGATTCGCAAACCAGCTCCTATCACAACTATAAATAATGCGTGCAATATTTATGGGTAAAATTTATAATTTTCGGTCACGCAGCTGGTGTAAGTGATTGGTGGCAAGCCAAGTGACTCGGGATTCATGGTGGTAGGTCATGGAACAAAAATACTTTTTTTGCGATGTTTGGTCACTGCAGCCTAGTAATTTAAGACGATAGGTTGTGCGGCAAAACAGATGATGATGTTAGTCGATCATTCGAATGATAAAAAAGGTAGTTCTTCGAATGATAGAAAGTTACTCAGCACTGATGTCCTGAGGCTGTTAGTGAACGCTCGTTAGCATGGCTTCGTAACATCAGGATGCTGCATCGACGTTAACCATTAGACTCTGGACGCGCGGAAGATTGATGAGCCTGAGTTGGCTATCGAAACATTAACACCCCTTCATTTTCAACCTCTATTGTTTGCTATCTTATCTTGAGTGAATGAAAACTTGTCATTCGATTGTCGCGAAAATGTGCTCAATGGTGTTGTTAAAATATGAAAATTAAATTTATCTGAGAATTTTAAATCAATTAGAAAGATTTATTGTCGATGATAAAATTTGAATGTAACGCTGGACAAATCTCATTTACGAAAATAAATATCCAGCTAGATTTTTGCAGTGTAAAAATTATTAAAGAATGTTTCAATGTCACAATAAAGATCCGATTTTGTTTCATGAGTAGCGTTCTTATTGAAAGCTTCAACAAAAGCATTAGTACATTTTAACAACAATATCTGCGCTCGTAATTAACAACACAAATGATTGGAAACTAATAATATGATCAAGATATAACACTGATTCAGTTATTACTTCAATACCTGCATTCGTAAGTGACATCAAAAATTCTCATATGACGTACAGTAATTACCATTACTGAAAACTTAATTACAAAAGCGTACAATATATGATCAGAATAGAGCACTGATCTCAACTCAATAGAGACATGAAAAACACGCTGAGGCTTTAGCAATAGTTGGCTATCTGTACGGCTCATCTGGCACTCAATATGTCGCCTCGGCCTCACCATCAAAACAAGTCGCCGACACAGCAATATTGGCCTCCTACCTTTTGTCTCCCGTGTGCTTTTGAAGCCAAAAACTCAGCTGCAAACATCGATATATTGCGCTGTCGCTTCCATAGTTACATCGCGTGGTCACAGTCTACTGAATAATGATATCTAATGAATTGCGAAACTGATAATTCTATTAAATTATTTCCTTTTATTTTGTCTTTATAATGACATAAATACTATCACAATGAGCTGCCTGTATTGCAATTGAAATTGAAGAAAAAGTAGAAACTTTGGAATAATACTCATAATGACGAAAGTTTTCCTTATAACCATGTTTAAGATTCATAACAAAAATAGTTTGCGTGTATAATACGAAAATATTGCAAGGCAATACTCCTAAGTTAAAGTTTGTTTATATTCATTCAAGAATTTTTGCAACTGTTTTAATTTTTACATTTCATTTTTCACAGTTCATTTTTTACAGCAATTTTCAACATAATTTTTGATACACAACGAGGGTTCCAGTCAAAGGTTAATTAATGGGACTCTTGACGGATGTTATCCTAAATATACTTCTGCAAATATTCCTAGAAGTGCTGGAGTGCAAATTATATTATCAGCTAGTACAAATTATCAAGACTAAGTTCATTCAGTTTTGCTGTGTGCAAACTGAGTGATAAACTCTGAGAGACAAAAATGTTCCTTTGGGTTTCCAAAAAACTCAGTAAATTGGGAGGCGCTCCTGCAAAAGAGGGCCGTGATTTACAAAGTTGGCAGCTCGTTTAAAGTTAGCGGATTCTACTCGAGTGGCTGAAATCTTCATTAGATAGCCGGCGGCGTTCGGTCCATTGAAAAGCTGAATTAGCTGGGATTAAGGATCGAGCAGTGAGGCTGGGACACGCGACTAGGATTGGAGTCCTTGGACTAGGACCCTTGTGATAAGATCTTGTGACTGTTCTGGTAGATCCTTGCAAAGACTCTTCTTGTTTCAGGGAATAGAGGAATATCCTATTTTGACGATAATTTACGCAAATTAATTGAGGTTCAGGTGAGTTTTTAGTGAACTGAGAGCCGGAGTCATTTAGTGACAGAGTTATTGGCAAATTACTAAAGGTGTATAATTATTGAATCAATTTAACAAAAAATCGTTGCGATACTTAGAACTTTATCCTGAGAGTACAGGGATTGAGGAAATCTTCGAGTTACACTCTAGGATCTGAGTTTGGGCATGTAAAATAGTTTGAAACTCCGTTGAGAGTGAGATAAATCGAGATGTAGACGAAATCGATCGAATTCGAGGAACTATTGTTCCAAATTGCCTCCGTTCATCGCTCAAAAGGGCTATTGCGAAAGCCTTCATGCCCAAAATGAAGTAGCGTTGCGTCCCTTATAGTCCATAGATACAGTTGAAATAAAACGATCATGTTAGCCGTGAGGTCGCTAGGTTTGTACCCGCAACCGAGAGAGGATCGCTCTGTGCTTTGAGCTGGTCGAGGCGCGCTTCATTTAGTACGTGGTCCCCCCAGGTTGGGCGGGCCGAGCAAAGCAATATCGAGATTCTCTGTTGACTCAGCACTCTCGAGCGCACGCTCCGCTGCTTCTGCGCCCGGAGCGCTGCCGCCTTTTGCCTGTCCTTCCTGGAGGATGACAGCAGCCAAGAGGTTGCTTTCTGTTCGCTCGTGGTGGAGAATCATTATGAGTAGTGAACCACTAACCATTATGAGGATGATCCTTATGAGGAACGAACCACTAAGACTTATGAGGATAATCATTATGGGGAGCGAACCACGAAACCTTATGAGGATAATCCTTATGGGAGCGAACCACGAAACCTTATGAGGATAATCATTATGGGGAGCGAACCACGAAACCTTCTGAGGATAATCATTATGATGAGTGAAACACTAACCCTTATGAGGATAATCATAATGAGGATAATATGTAACGGGACAGTTGAGAACATCGGGGTCGTCGTTAAAGAGTATATCGTTCTTGAAACAAGTTCATAAGCAGGAACACCATGAATACAAAAAAGTTGCGATTATGAAAAAGCGAAATGTAAAGTGTCCTAGAAGATTTGAACTTTTTCTTGAGTTGAGCTTCACTAAAGATTAACATATGTTACGAACCAGAAAACACAAATCCGGGAAAAACGACTTTTTCAATTTTTAATTAAGAATTTGTAATACTGGAACCGCAATTTTTATTTTCCTTATTAGTTAGCTTCTTGTTCATATGACTGGTGCTAAAATATCTCATCAACATAGTAATAAAATAATTTTTCCATGCCTCTAATGCCTTGTCTTTTGTTCACAGCGGCGTCCAGTATGAAGAGTTCGAGCTGGAAGCATCCAAGATTAAGAAGCTCAATACCGGGTGAGTGTTGCTGCATTGGCATAATAGAATTGAAAAAGTTGAAATACTATTCTTCTACCAATACTTTTCTTATAGATACATAAAGGTTTAGTGACATACTGGTAGTGACATAGAGGTTAGTGACATGTACTTATAGTGACATAAAGCATTACCGCGTGGTTCCGTTCCGTTTCCGTTTTTTGAAAAAAAAAATCCATAATTTCGTTGAAGATTTGGCTTCACGTAACATTTCAGATTATTATCAAGTACTGAGTTCAATTTTTGTAGTAAAATTATTTCCCTGCATTGGATTGCTTTTCTGTTGTATTGGGTTTGAAAAAAATGAGTTTCAGTAATTAAAATAACATCGATGTGGCTTGAATTTAATGGACTTTGAAACCTTCCAATGTTTGACTCTCATCAATCTGCGCTCCGCTAAATTGCCTGGAGCTCCCTGGGCAGTGCATGGCCTCCACGGAGATTTCATAGATATTTGCTCGATTAAATGCATAAGATTGCCTATTCTGTACGTATTAATTTACATATTTTATAGTATCTGATGTCATCTATACGACATTATATATTGTTGATTACACTTTATATTATTTATTATTATTTATTTATATTATTATTATATTATATTATATTATTATATTATTATATTATATTATATTATATTATTATATTTATTATTATTTATATTATTTATTATTATATACACTTTACCATTTACTGGATTACTTGCTCATGCCTACGTTTATTTTAACAATGTTATATTTTACAAAACTTTTTCACGTGACGGTTATTGCTGTGGTGGACCAAAGATAGAAAGTTCATCAATGAAGTGTAAAGCAGGAGTTATGAAATAATTTAAAAGTTACAACGGGCACATAAGGTGTAGATCTTGTGTGACCAAGTACGCTAATTGTACAACAACACAGAAGTACGCTAATTTTATCCGACGGGTGTAAAACTGATCGATTCAAATAGAACATTTTTGAATGTCAATCATTTTCAAAACAATAAATTTTTAGCAAACTATGATTATTTGAATAAGAAAACATATTGCAAATATATTTTTTAGAATCTTTAATGTTCCACCGTAGAACGAATGAAAATTTGCGCCCAATAAATCGTTGGGATTTACCACTCGCATAACATTCGTGTTGTTTACCTTGGCTTCTCCGCGATTGCGACATCAGCCAAGATTGAATTGGTGTGAAAGTGCGAAGCAATTCACTTAGCGTTCGCTGCTCAGTTTACCGCCACAACTTTTGCGCGTTCTCGTTCTGCGCTTCTGGTCCCGCGGGGGCCGTTGTCTCCAGCAACCCAAACCCTAACTGAATTTTAGGGCGTCTTCTTTATCGCTAAATGAGACCTCCAGTTCTACGAGTATGAAGGCAACTCTAAAATTGAAATGTTAATAAGAATAACAGTAATCAAAATTTACTTACCTAGGATTAATGCAGTGCAAATTCTCTGAGCACAATGATTAATATTTATGATTTCCTTTAGGAGAGCCACCAGAACTAAATTTATGGATTTTAATTCTACGATCATGGGTTTAATATTTGGGGTCACTGAAGAATTTATTTTCATTAGTATTATTGAATAGGCCCACAGTAACGAACAACTTGCTGCGTACAGGTTATTCGATCAAAATTCGTCTCTGGCATCCAGGTTACAGCAACAGAGTTCCATCTCTGGGGCCGTATTATCAAAATTTCGTAACTTTTTGTACTTCCGACAAAAAAGTTACGTGTTACGTAAGTACACCCTAATTTTGGCATTATCAAAACATTCGTACGTAAGACTTAGCTAAAAGCGTACTATCAAAACCACCTGGCCAACTGACCAATCAGAGGCTTTGGATTTGTTTACATTCTGTGAACTTCGATGGCGGGAATCGATGCCTTGTGATGATTGCCTTCGATGGTATCGACTATCGAATGCTGTCTGTCGGTATTGCTCATTGTTGGCCCAGAAAAAGCCGTTCTAAAATAGTTGCTTGTAAAATATAACGTAAAAGGAAAACAAAATCAGTTTCTGGCATTAACTCAATAGAATTTTTTTCCAATAGCACTGTTTAGCACGATCACTTATTTTGATCGTGCAAATGTTGCACGATCAAGTAGTGGAGCCATCACAAGTAGAGCCCTCATTCTGTGCGTGTATAATCCGCGCTGTCGGATTATTGACAAAATTCTATCACAAGTCAAGGTGTTGCTACTTGCTAGTAAATCAATAGTTTCCTATCGCTTCAACAGACACTCTAAACTTGTGGGGAACTTCACTTGCGACATCTCCGAGCAGGCATACAGTTACGTTACGTATCTTCCCGCGCAAATGTTTTTATAATACCGCCTCTAGAGTTACGTCATCAAGTCAGCACAGACGCCACTCGTAAGTCGATTTTGCGTACTTATGAAGTTTTGATAATACGGCCCCTGGTATTCAGGTTACTGCATCAGAGTTGCGTCTCTGGTATCCAGGTTACTGCATCAGAGTTGCGTCTCTGGTATCCAGGTTACTGCATCAGAGTTGCGTCTCTGGTATCCAGGTTACTGCATCAGAGTTGCGTCCCTGGTATCCAGGTTACTGCATCCCAGTTGCGTCTCTGGTATCCAGGTTTCTGCATCAGAGTTTCGTCTCTGGTATCCAGGTTACTGCATCAAAGTTTCGTCTCTGGTATCCAGGTTACTGCATCAGAGTTTCGTCTCTGGTATCCAGGTTACTGCAACAGAGTTGCGTCTCTGGCATCCAGGTTGCTGCTTCAGAGTTCCGTCTCTGGTATCCAGGTTACCGCATCAGAGTTGTGTCTCTGGTATCCAGGTTTCTGCATCAAAGTTCCGTCTCTGGTAACCAGGTTGCTGCATCAGAGTTTCGTCTCTGGTATCCAGGTTGCTGCATCAGAGCTCCGTCTCTGGTATCCAGGTTACTGCATCAGAGTTCCGTCACTGTATCCAGGTTGCTGCATCAGAGTTCCGTCTCTGGTATCCAGGTTACTGCATCAGAGTTCCGTCTCTGGTATCCGGGTTACTGCATCAGAGTTGCGTCTCTGGTATCCAGGTTACTGCATCGGAGTTGCGTCTCTGGTATCCAGGTTTCTGCAACAGAGTTCCGTCTCTGGTATCCAGGTTACTGCATCAGAGTTCCGTCTCTGGTATCCAGGTTACTGCATCAGAGTTCCGTCTCTGGTATCCAGGTTGTTGCATCAGAGTTGCGTCTCTGGTATCCAGGTTGCTGCATCATAGTTGCGTCTCTGGTATCCAGGTTGCTGCATCAGAGTTCCGTCTCTGGTATCCAGGTTGCTAAATCAGAGTTGCGTCTCTGGAATCCAGGTTTCTGCATCAGAGTTGTGTCTCTGGTATCCAGGTTGCTGCATCAGAGTTGCGTCTCTGGTAACCAGGTTACTGCATCAGAGTTCCGTCTCTGGTATCCAGGTTACTGCATCAAAGTTCCGTCTCTGGTATCCAGGTTACTGCATCAAAGTTCCGTCTCTGGTATCCAGGTTGCTGCATCAGAGTTTCGTCTCTGGTATCCAGGTTGCTGCTTCAGAGTTGCGTCTCTGGGCCTATACTTTCAAAAAAGTTAAGAGATCGTAAGTTCATCAGCCAATCATTGACGGCCTTTCAAGCAAAATCCACCAATCATAGACAAGAAAATAGAGCGTAAGTACTTACGTTCACTTAGCGAATTTTGAAAGTATGGCCCCAGGTTACTGCATCAGAGTTGCGTGTGTGCGACATGAGGTGGTATGGTGCAGAGGGTACAGGTGCACGACGCGTTTTAAAGCTACATGTGCCAAGCGAAGCCAAGCCCGCGCTGGGCGTCGCGGTTTCCACAACGAGCTCTGCTGGATAGTTAAGTTCGGTGTGGCAACGTAGAATTATTTCTACCGCTAGGTAGTTACTTAGTATGTTTACTTTTTTCTTGGCGCAATTTTCCTTTTATTTAGCGATAGCGCGAATCTTTCGGCTGACATGCCCTTTTAATCCCTTTTTAGCGCATTTTCTCATTTATGAAAAAAAAAACACACTATTGTGCTCGCCATGTCCGTCTGTCCGTCAGTCCGTCTGTCTGTCCGTCCGTGACTTCATGTTTTCGTCGACGAGAAAATGTGCACTCTGTCACTCACTGCAGTGAGTACTGAGTTATATTTTTTACTTCTTGTAATTATCAACAAATTCAATTATTCTATTACCTCTTATGTTTTCAAATCATGATATTCTCCGCTTTTAATTTCACTTCGTTTCCAGTCCGTGCCTCCCTTGTTCGCCCCTCTTGTTATGAAGTGAAAATCTTGCCGAAACTATACCTCTGGGAGCAGCGTGAGCCTCGACACCGTCAGGGCCGCTGGCGCCACACAAATCAGAGCGTCTGAAAACACAAGCAATTCCCTGCAAGTGGGACACTCTGCCGCTGATTTATTGCACTCATCCATTGCAAATTCATTGAATATCTCTAGACAATTGATAATTTTGCATAATTTGGAGTACGAGGTTTGAAATTGAGAATATTTATATAAGTTAATTGACGAACAGTTCATGCATAATGCCTGTAATCTTTGTGGTTTGCCCTCCATTGTATACCTCTATGGTTCTATTACTGAGCGATTCATCACTGACACATTAGTTACAACGAACTCGTCCGCTATCACTTACTTATTTATTGAGAACTTTCATTTTAAGTGAGTTCATTATTTCGTACAGAAGCTCCGTTCACTATCATTTTACTAACGCTGCTCAAATTTTTGTTCATGATTATTATAAAATTTCGACCGACTGTTCACGGTACGTGCGCTTACACGTGTTTGCTTCACCGACCTAATACGTCGTGAGCTCCGCCCGCTCAAAAGAACGTCTTATCGATTTCAAGTTGCGGAAGTCTCTCATGCCAGGCAAACGCAATAATCTTTCTCTGTGATCTCTTCTGTTGTGGACACCAAACCGGATCATTTGTACTGAACATCTGAGCGGCTTCGCAGTTGGGGAGTGAAGCTGATCCTTGGGAGCTGCTGGGTTTCGATACGAATAAAATCATTCGGCGAAAAATGTAGAACGAACTGCTGGTAAATCTTATATGAAAAAAATGAAATGAACAACTAGCTTTCGACTTTAGTTCAACTTGACGCTAAAAAGCTTTTGACTAGTTAAAATATCTCCTTACGTCAAAGGAAAGATAATGAATTTAAATTCCGTGTAGAATCTTGCTTTTCCAATTGAAAAATTTGAATTTTTCTGTTACTTTGCAAATACGCATCGGGCATTCATTAGGTTTCCTAAACTTACAGGTAAAGAAAAAAATTTCTTTTATGTTAAAGGCTAAAATTAAAAATTATGTTTCCGAGTAGTTAAATATAAAAAACGGGTAGATTAGGAGTCCTATAGATTGGAACGAAATGCATATAAAACAGAGCATGTTATATGTACATGTTCATGGTTAGCGAGTGTAGTTGTAATAATGCTCATGTACATTGTGATGGCATGGCGATGACACCGTTCATTAATGAGCGATTTTATTAGGACGTTTTTCAACTATATCCATTTTAAGAATTATAACAACTTGATTCGACAAATAAAAATCAAACCAAAACAATATTATTGTTCATTGGTAAGTTCTAAAATTGAGCATAGTATTCAACTGCAAAACCTGAAATAAATATCTCATTACCTAGGCAAAATTTTCTCTTCTTCGCGACGGCCCAGCTCACGGGAAACCAGACAAGTCAGCCTCCAGACAACTGGCATATGCAGGATATACTTCAGATCATCACACGTCTGAACCTGGGCCTATACTTTCAAAAAAAGTTAAGAGATCGTAAGTTCATCAGCCAATCATTGACGGCCTTTCAAGCAAAATCCACCAATCATAGACAAGAAAATAAGTCGTAAGTACATACGTTCACTTAGCGAGTTTTGGAAGTATGGCCCCAGAACAATTTCTGCACTGCCGCCATAAGGCTGATGGCAAAATAAAGAGCAGCTGGAAGGAGCCGTGATTCCATAAGCTCCTCAATTTACCTGTTCATTAAGTCGGTAAAAGTGGTTGCCGAGAAACTTTTGAGCTGCTAATTACATGAAAGAGAGGCTGTAATGGAGGCGCTCGGGATACCGACGCTAAAACGAACTTTACAAGCGAGCTTCTTATTCCTCACGAGGTTAATTTCGAAGCCTTCTTTGATCATATGGCTTCGGCCTTGGGCCAAGCGCGCTCTCCCTTCAAGAGAATTATTCTTTCGACTAAACTGGTATCTCGAAATTATCTGTTGAGAAAAAACCAATTCATGGAAAAACCGATTCACGAAAAGTGACGAGGAGGAGGTAGAGAGAGGGTGACGAGGAGGAGGTAGAGAGACGGTGACGAGGAGGAGTTGAGCGAGGATGACGAGGAGGAGATTGAGCGAGGGTGACGAGGAGGAGGTTGAGCGAGGGTGACGAGGAGGAGATTGAGAGAGGGTGACGAGGAGGAGGTTGAGTGAATGTAAGACATATTGGGTGGCAAATGCGAGGTTGTTTTGTAATGACAAAGACACGGCTTCTTATGGTGACAAGTTCTATACTTGCCGTTGTAACGACAAGATTCTGCTGGGGTCCCGGAGACGTGGCATGCGAGATAACTTATACCAATGACTTAAGCCAGATATACGAATGCGTGAAGCCAGGTAGAGTGACGATGGCATGAAGCCAGGCAGAGTGACGATGGCATGAAGCCAGGCAGAGTGACGAAGGCGTGAAGCCAGGCACAGTGACGAAGGCATGAAGCCAGGCAGAGTGACGAAGGCATGACCTCAGCTTGAGTGATTACTGCAGCAGGGGAGCTGACGTGTTAAGACGGCAGGACGGGGGCCGCTAGCGCGGCGCTGACGGGAGGATGAGTAGAGGTGTCGCCCGCGTCTGTTTCTTTTGGGTCGGAAAAACATTTTCAAGAAATATTTATTGCGTTATTATAATCATAATCATAAAAATTAGGCTTATAATAAATTGGCGAACAATATCAATGTTCGCAATTAAATTGGCCGAGAAAAGATTGTTAAGAAATATTTATTGCGTTATTATAATCATGATCATAATTAAGCTTATATTAACACACTCCGTTAGAACATTTGCAATAATTGAAACATGTTTAAAATAATTACCTATGGTTTTATGGTAAAATTTAAATAACAGGAAGATAATTTTGATGAATATTGATGAAAAATAATATTGCAGATGTACCTTATTTTTTAGTAAAATGTTCATGGCGTGAAACACTTTGTTCAAGCTTTTTTTCTCTATGAGCCTCGAAGAGATCACTTTGTGTTAAGCTATTCTGCAATGACGCAATAATTTAGATCATATATCGATGATATCGTTTGATGTGGCAATCCTGTTGTGTTTATCGTTCATTTCCGAAGCATTGCTCACTTCCTTATTTGATACTACATTTGCATCTTATCCTGGAGTTTTTATATCAAATGCATAATAGCGCGAATAGTTATCTCTTGAAAAAGTTGTAATATTTTTAATGTCGTTTTTTGGAATTTCTATGACGATCAACACTTTCCCGTCTCAACCTTTTTTTTCTAGTTCTGGAAATATTTTCCTAATTATAGGTTTCTCTCATTAAATTTTTTCCCTTTTTTTGCTCCTGTGCACACAATCTCGCTCTCCCGCCCCAGCTGTCTCGCCGCGTCGCAGCGATGACGGTTTGTCGATGAAGGAGCGCGTCGTTAGCGAGAAACAAGAGCCGCCGTCGTGCCGGCCGTACTCAAGAATTGGAGACGTCAAATGACGCTGCCAAACTCAGGGCTTATCAAACCAATTCCGATGAAAGTACGCAGCTAAACGACTTGTTAGGCAGTGTTCGATCCTTCCTTTGGAAGACCATGCGTGAAGATTAACAGATAAAATATTCAGTAAAGCACCGGACGGATTAAAAATAAAATTGTTTCCAGTAAATTCGAATCTTAGACCGAAACAGTGCGTGAGATATTTGGTGATGATGTCCTTCATGGCATTATAACAAGTAATTGGCATTTTTATATAACAGACGACATTATGCTCCCGACTTCCGGCCATTTTTTTAGTTTTATTACAATAAAATAGTTTCTGTATCATGTCGAGTTGTTTGCAGATTGAAATGAAAATAATTCCTTATAATAATGGCTGGATCATTGTTTCGCAGGGTGCCAGGAGCTTCTATGGAGGAGCCTGAAGAGCTGACGAGGGAAGTGCCGCGGCTGAGAAAAATAGATCAGTACATGACACCAGACTGTCCCTGCTGCAGCATGAGCAAGCGCTACACCATGAGCGTGCTAGCCAGCATCGGTGTGTACAGCATGATAGAGGCATAGAATGTTGATGTCCACTGAGTATTCATTTCACTATTATATTTTTAATAATTTAGGCATTCTTCAGGCAATGAAAAAACCCCAAAAAATGTAAATAATAATGTTTTGCCTTGCGTCATGTCTTACTTTCTCTCTGTGAATGAATGTAGTAACAGTAACCAATTACCTTCAAATTTGATCAATTAAATTTTAAGTAAAATTGAGAACTGGCTCTATATAAAATAACGCATGCCAATTTAATCTTATCGATATTAAACAAAAATACTGCAATTTCAGAAATAATTTTTTGCTGGCAGGTTTCCTCATCTCATTCGGCATCCGGTGCAATATGGGCGTCGCAGTTGTGAAGATGACGTCTAACCTCACCGAGAACGGGGTCAGCATTATATAGTTAGTGAGAAACATTGCTGAGGTCACTTGGTGAACTTGAGTCGAAAAACAAGAATTATCTTAATAGAAAATTCTTTTTTAAATATTGCTGAAGTCATTTGGTGAACATGAGCCGAAAAACAAGAATTATCTTATTAGAAAATTCCTTTTTTAATTCTCGTTCTTTTACTTTATTTAAGATTCGCAGGGCCAATTGAAGCATTTAATACTGTACTTCCTATCATTGAGCAGGTATAAGTTTCATTTTTGCCGGCGCATTTTTTATTCTCATTAACTAATATTGGCCTTATGTTAGTGGCGATTTTGAAAAAGGGCCGGAATGTTATTATTTTCTTTTTTTTCCTCATTCATGTTAGTGGCGATTTTAAAAAGGACAGGAATGTCATTACTTTCCGTATTTTTTTTTTTTGCTTTTGGCTGCTCCGTTCGTTCTGGTTCCCTCCATTCGTTGTGAAGTGCAGCCACCAATTTCTGGCGCACGTCGCAATGAGCCCTCCGCCGGCCTCTCCATCACCCGCTTCCTTCCGATCGCAAACACACGACGACTCCGCGTCTCCTGATCGCCTGGCGTCACGGCCGCTCGAGGAGGGGATTAGCTCGCGGTCTCCAGACCGAACTCAACAATAAAGTAAATGATAGGTCGTGGTGTCCAAAAACTGACACACTTTCTGCCCGTAGCAATGATACGCCCTTGATCGCCCGGCGCCACGGCCGCTCGAGAAGGGGTTTAGCCCGCGGTCTCCAGACCGAACTCAACAATAAAGTAAATGATAGGTCGTGGTGTCCAAAAACTGACACACTTTCTGCCCGTAGCAATGATACGCCTTTTAGAGTGGGTCACGATGACTCACAGAAAGACAAGAAGTGCGTCAATATTTGGATAAAATCTGGCTCACTTCTCCGAGTGAATGATAAAGCCTCGGGGGGAAATTTAGTTTGGTGGTAGTGTGCGCTGTCCAGGGATTCGTTCAAATTTGTTTTTATAAGGCACACGGCATATAAGACTCAAATTTTCAATTAGAGAACAGCAATTAAAGAAACTCGTAATTCTCTTTTTTTGATATATAGTTAGTGTGTCAACTATGAAAGCTAACTAAATAAGTATACCGGAACAATAATTTGATATTTTCAATTAGAGAACAGAAATTAAAGAAACTCGTAATTTTCTATCTTTGATATATATATATATAGTGTGTCAAGTATGGAAGCTAACTAAATAACTATACCGGAACAATGATTTGATAACTGATTAATTTGAATAATTTTGTTAATGAACTAACATCGAAACTTTTGTGCGTTCCAAGTTTGATGAGAAATTCATTTGCTTGCCATTGCCGCACTGCTATCGATCACGAAAGCATAAATCGAATGAAAACAATGTTCATTTTTTAAAAATCTTTCGAGGGATTAATTTTGTATCCATCATCTACATAATTAGGTGCACTTTTGGAATAAATGTGCCATGCGATATCTTAGACTAAACATAAAAGTATTGATAATTAATCTTAAATATTGCTAGAACATCAGGAGCAACACATCACCCTGGAGACCTTGCACTGCTCGGTGAACGTTCCTTGTGTCCACGTAATTGCCAGCAAGCTGTTAGCCAGTAGGTGTCTGTTATGCAAATTTATTCATAAGCTTCTCCTCAATCTGCGACAAGCAAGTGGCTTCATCACAGCTTCCTACATTGAAGCAACGTGAAAACCCTTTCTTTTATACCATTTAAAATGAATATTTTTTGTCGACTTGAAGTATGTTTATGACTGTGTCAAAATATCTAGAAGTAAAGCATTTATATTCGATAACCGCGAGTTACTGGATGCAAATAACGCAACAAAGGTCCAGTTAGGCGACAGTCGCAAGAGCAAGTTTGCAGGGACGCACTTTACGAAGATTAGAGTAAATTGGCCGCGGTGCTGAGGGCAATGATCGCACCACCCTCAGAGGGATATGACCCTCGGGGCCGCTGCAGGAGCACCGTCCGGCAACGAGCAAAATACGAGGGCTCGATATTTTTATGGGGCTCGTTATTGGATGAATATCGACTGCTTCTTTGAGCCATTTATGCTGGCTGGCTATTTTACTGTTGTGGCTTCCTGATGAAGGTTTTTTTTTCTGTCAGGCTCTTGATGTTTGTTGATTGAGCGTATTGCAGCCCCAAATAAAGTTTTTTTTTCGCTTTTTTGCGTTATTCATGGTCATTTCTTGACATTTTATTCTACATTTTATAGTTATTAGGTTTATTTATTTCGTAATTTTTAATTTAGCTTAGATTTGGCCCTACCCATAATCAATGATGATTTCAGAAGCGCGCTGAGAGGCTCCATAGGCATACATACATCGGATTTATGCTTCATAGTTATTACTTGTTGTTTACATGCAGTCAAATATACTTAATGAAGATTATTGAAGCGCAATATGTCTAATCGGCTTGCCTTTACATACGCTCAATAGCACAAATCTGAGATGAATTTTTACTATCATAGCTTTATGAGTTGGACTTCATATTACCCAATAGAATTGTGAAGAGGAATTAATGTCCATATAAAAAATGAATAAACACACAAATTGATTGCAGCCCGTATAAGTTTATGGTTATTCAAATGAGGAAATAATTATATTATATAGTACATTTCACTTCACTATACACAAGATGAATGTATAGAAAAACATTATTAATGCCATATCAATCACATATAGGCCTAATTCACGAATAAATAAATTATCTAATTTATAAATAAATTATCTAATTTATAAATAAATTATTTATATAGGAATTAATAAATTGAATGAAAATAATTAGATGCCTGGGGTTGTTTTGTTGGCCAGGTGGTGGAGATTCCGTGGACGGACGACGTGATCGGCGTGGTAGACTCTTCGTTCTTCTGGGGCTACATCGTCACGCAGATCCCGGGGGGCCTGATCGCCTCCCGCTATCCTGCACACAGGTTGTCTCGCCCCCCTACAGTTTATCTTTGATTCCTTTAGCCTGTGCTTAATATTTTAGCCTGTTCCTAACACCCAAGACTGTTCCTAACACCCATGACTGTTCCTAAGACCCAAGACTGTTCCCAACACCCAAGACTGTGCCTAATACCCGGCCGGCCTGTTCTTAATGCCACAGCCTGTTCTTAATACCCAAGACTGTGCCTAACAATCGAGCGTGTGTCTAATATCCCAGCCTGTTCCTAATACCCCAGCCTGTTCCTAATACCCCAGCCTGTCCCTATAATACCCCAGCCTGTTCCTAATACCCCAGCCTGTTGCTACCTCAGCCTGTTCAAATACCCCAGACTGTTCCTAATAGCCGAGCCTGTTGCTAATACCCCAGCCTGTTCCTAATTTCCTAGCCTGTTCCCAAGCCTGTCCCGAAGCTCTTAGCCTTCCTCCATTTCCCTAGCCTGTCGTATTCCCTAAGCATGTCCCTAATCCCCCACCCCATCCCAAATACCCCAGCCTGCCAATATTCTCCCATCCTGCCTTTAATGCCCTGTTACTGTCGTTTCCAAGAATCCATCGTGTCTGACCACAATCTCCCTTGCCTGCAACCAACAGGTTTGCCTGGAAACCTTAGTGTTTGTCCGTAATCCCCAGTTTATGTCAGTAATCCCCAGTTTCTGTCTGTAATCCCAGCTTCAGTGTAGAAACCCTAGTTCATGTGTGCAATCATCGGCTCTTGTTCGTTATCTTGATCCTTTCTACAATCGATATCCGTATTGTGAGGACTTAATTTAGCTCATAACTCTTCGAGATGGCATAATGTGTAATAATTGCTTTGGTGTTTTTTAAAGGCGAATCTTGTTCAAAATAATACATGTTTGTAAAAAAGTGAATAAATAATTTGACTATAATCATGTGATTAACTACTTCAAATATAATTTATGATGCCCGAATGAAAATCATTAAGGTACAATCGTTGAAAATACGTTTGTCATTAATTATGAATTGCCTTACGGGCGTTATTTGTTAATTTCGTCTACTTTTTTCTATCGAAGAATCAACCCCATGTTGCTCCTTCATTATTTTATTTTAATCGCTTAGACACAGCGATGAAACAGGGTGGCAAACAGAGCGTACTTCTATGATTTACATTGCCCACCAGACTCACTCATATGGTTAAATTATACCTCTTATTAAATTTCATTTAACTCATAAATGCACTCACCTAGTTGAGAGAAATCTCTGCCTTTGATTTTAATTTACTAAAAATTTAAATTACCTCTAACCGAAAGGTTTGATTTACCAAAACGACGTTCTTGCAACCCAGTAGATTAGCATCTATACAAGCCACTTACAAAATAATAATCGATTAAAAGATATGAAATATAACTATACTCTCATCGTGACATCAATGGGGGATTAGCTAGACATGGATAAATCCTTTTTCACAAGTATGCTTCGTGTCGTATGGAGGGTTCCAACTTTATCAGCGCATTTGCCGCGCTCCAGCGCGCCTTTGTCGGCCCGAAACAAAGGGTCGCGCCGGCGCTTCTGCGCTCCATTTGCCAAATTAAGTTTTGACTTCAGGGCCTTTGGAGGCTGCGGCTGTCCGCGCTCGCCGCGCAACGCATCGAAAATCAATGCGACCGTGACAGCGCCAGCGCAGCCTTCAGATGGCTTAGTTTGTCGATGGGCGTATCAATAATAACATTAATGTAATCTATGTTAGAGCAACGTTTTATAAGATCTATAATAACATTAATGTAATCGATGGAAGAGTAATGTTGTATAAGATCTATAATAACATTATTGTATTTGTTGTCAGAGCAGCGCATTATGATACGCACGATAACTCTAACGTTTTAGTATTAGAGCAGCGTATTATACTATCTATAAAAACATTAGTGCTTTTCTTGTCATATCTTTTAGGATATCACTTCTAATTTCACCATACCAGGAGCACTGGAGCTTAAAGCTCAAGAATACCAGCATAGTTTAAAAAAGGATTTACCCAAATGTTGGAAGCAGTACTGGCGTGAAGATGATAATTAACTGGACTACAGAAATGGAAAGGGTTAAGGCATCTTAATATTAGGAGTAACAGAACTATTTCTAAAGGTGATAGAATTGGAGAATCGTACTATCATCAACAATCGTTGTTTCACTGAGAGTTGTCATATGCGAGTCTTGGTTGCGCATGGCCAACATGTTTTAAAAGTGTATCATGCAAGTGGCTAATGATCTTGAAACCTCCCCAGCGGATCATTTCGGGTGCTTGCGCTGTTTGTTGAACAATGAAGATTATAAACTTAAGGGCATGAATTTGGCTCTGTAATCGAAGCTCACAAACTTTTTCATCAATTTGTTTCATTTAGCATCAACTTCCTTTTATTTTATTTCCAGAGTGTTTGGCTTGGCGATTGCTATCTCCGCTTTCCTGAATCTTTTCATCCCCGTGGCGTCGCGCATGCATCCTGTGGCGGTGATCTTCGTCCGCATCATGCAAGGCCTTGTGGAGGTGAGACTTTTTCTTTCAAAAAAAAAATCTATTATCAAAATAAATCATTTGTGCCATTTATACAAGATATTCTTCACTTCTTATTTTCAATCTCTGAGACTCGATTTTATTTAATTTTGTATCTGACTTTCATAAATTAAATCAAATGGCGTATAAATAAAGAGCAAAAGTGGGACAAATTTTTTCCATAACGTGTGACCGCACATAGAAGGACAGGGCCCCTGTCCGCGCGAGTGGCAGCGATCCAAAAGTCACAAGGTGCACTCGAGGAGCGTTTAAAACTTAGTCGAGTTCCAGGGCTCTTAGAAACCTCTTAGGACCTTGAGACTCTCCTCCATTACCTCCCTCTCCATCTTCTGCCCTCCCTCCCTCCTCTTATTACCTTCTCTGTCCTTCTCACTTTTTATAGGAGCAGCGTTCATGAAAGCGCGACGTATTCTCGTGACAAGAATTTATGTAATTTTTTTTCGTTTTAGGCAGTCGCAAACAGTATGAATTAAATTAAGTACCTCAACATTCCATGCAATCATTCTCGTCAAGAAACATTTGAAAATTATTAAACATGATTTTTAAAACATAAATTATTAATAGAATGCGTTTTGTCTCAATGAAACCAATGAATTTTGCTATAATTTCTTACCAAGCACTTCTACCACTGCTTGCATTAAGAGCCCTCGGTATTTCGTGCACAAAAGCTTTCTTTCCTTCTTGCATGGCATCCTCCTACACTCCTTCTAAACAAGACCGGCATTTATTGTCTTGTGTTTTAGTGCGGCCTATTATTATCCACGCACCACCTCCTCTCTCGCTGCGGTCTCTTCTCTGAGCCCCGCAAATTGGAAGTGAGTGCAGACTTTCTGCGACTTGCCCTAAAGCCTCTCTGCTTCCACCGCCGCAATCACGATGGCTTAAAAAATACCTGATTTTTAGACCGGGGAAGTTACAAATGTATCGATAAATGAAAATCGTAGAAATTGAAATGCAATTTCTCAAATATTGTTTAATGCTTTAAATAGAAATCCACCGCCGCAATCACGATGGCTTAAAAAATATCTGATTTTTTGACCGGGGAAGTTACGAATGTATCGATAGATGAAAATCGTAGAAATTGAAATACAATATCTTAAAAATTCTTTAATATTTTAAATAAAAAATTGGTGTACTTCCTGAAGCATTTTGCATGGGGAGTTAGTCGACTATTCAAAAACTGCTTGTAAAAATTATATAGAATTAAGAGAAGCTTCGAAACCTTCCAAAAATAATATCTTTTCAACATATCGCTCCAGTTTACCGCAATATCAAAATATATGAAAATACTTTGTCCATTTATGAATTCATTGAAGCCCATAAATCTTCTAAACTTATGCTGTTATGAATATCGACTAGAGAGAATTTATTGAGAAAGTAAGTTAAGATATGAAGAAAAAATTGAAGTATAAAACGTTAATGGGTCACCCAAAAACTAAATTTCAGATGTGATAGTTTGGACTACGACCAACGTTAACATCGGGAGACAGTGGAACAACTTGTTGCTTCAGTTGCGGTCAGAGCCGAGGATCCGGTGACTAGGGCCCTGACATAGGCGTTCACTGATTAGAGAAAAACGCATAAAAATTATGATTACGTCAAATCGTTATAGCCCCTGCTGTGTTAGTTGTAATGGTAGTCATGTTTTTGAGATGGTAGCACTGTTTCTTCAAGACTGTGGTTGTTCGTTCAATGCGTTTGCCTCCTCTTGTTTATTGCATGCGACCTAAAGCGCTTGTCAGATTTGAATGAAAATCGTTCAATCCCGGTTCTAAAATGAGGTAGAGATTACCACTGAAATTAAATCTCATCAAGAAGCAAAACCTCCTAATATTTTTACTATCGCTAGAAGCGAATTGATTTTCTCAAGAATTTTGTTTAATCAATTAATCTACACTACAGATTTTTGGTGGTCAAAGTAAGTTTTGATGACAAAGCTAAGATTTCGATGCCTTTGAAATTACCTACTTAATCTTGGAACTTTCCATGAAATTATGCCATCAACGCATTGAATACATTTTGATGAAAAATATTTTCTCTATTACTACTCATGATTTCCTGAAAATTTGTTCCATCAACTCAGAATATTCTCGCATGATGATGCAAACTTGTGCTTCGTGGTATCTCAAGTTTTATCCTCTGAATGCTCTGAGACTCTAACTTGAAAGAACATCTGGGAAACTCAAGTCTCATCTTGTAAATCTGGCAAACTATCGATCTCTTGGAGCTGTGAGGCGCTGTACATGTAGACGCATGCCATATCTTGCCATATCTTACCATATTTTGTCATAGCTTGCCATATCTTGCCATATCTTGCCATATCTTGCCAAGCTATGAAGCGGTCTTTGCAAAAGACGGTTTACCTGCACTGAAAAGCACATCTCATCTGTTCCACTAGCTCGATTATCGGACGTATGCATATTGCAATTATATTAATAAAGCCTAACTGAGTAAATATTAATCATATTGATTCGGAAATAAATTTATCTTAGCTTTGGTTGTAATAAATTTAAGTTAAATCGTTGCTCGTAAACAATTTACAGTGCTCATGAATAATAAAGCCTCGTGAAAAATGATCGTTTATTCATGATCAAATAAATTGTTATTTCTTTGAATGTTATTTGTAAATTACACACATCGAAAAAATTACAGCATTTCAATCACTAAGTCTTTACTGAGGTTTGTAAAGAGGTCAGCGAAGGAAATTGAGGTAGAAAATGAGGGAGGTGGATGAGGGGAGGAACGGCAGATCGAGAACCTGCTATTATCATCCTAATTACAAACTTTAGAGGGGATCGAGTGGAAAGGAGGGATTCGTGGAGTGGTCGGTGGAGTGGGAGGTGGAGTGGGTGGTGGAGTGGGTGGTGGAGGGGTCGTTACCACAGGTACTGTGTTGCTCGCTTGTTAGACGAGGGGAAGCAATATTTCCCTCAGACACCAGCTTTTTATTGCGGCCTCAAAAGCCACACAAATAGAAAATCAATGAGGCAGCTACTGAAAATCTCTGTGATAGATAGTCGGAAACTCTGCTCAGTTGAGCAATAAACTTTGGCGTGGCAGCATGAGATTTTTTTTTTGTTTCGAATAATTTTAGATTTTAATTGTGAATTGAGCAATGCTAAGGCATTTTTCAGTGACTTGAAATGACAGGTATTTCATTTTATAAAAGATTGTAAATGACTTCAATAGTAAATTAGTGTAGTTAATTCGATGACTTAGAGCAAAATAATATTGAGTTATGTGAGTTTTTTTACAGCAACCACCAAAGTTCATTGAGATACACACAAGCAGACATCGTTACATGTATTGATAAAACTTTCCTTACATATACTTTTAATTCGTTATTTCCTTACAGGATTTGGAAATTACTCATGCGAATGAATAATAAGTTTTCTCTTCTAAAACATTGTCTAATAAAAATTTCATTATTGAAATTATTATTCATGGCGCGACTAGATTTTGATACTCATAATTAATTCGAATTACTCTGACATCCTTTTGGTGGAAAACATTTATGCAGGGTTAAGTGAGTATTTTAAATTCTTGCACGTAATTTTTCTGAATGGGAAACAAAGAATTCCTGGAAAGACTCTTGAAATTTTAACGTACATTAATGTCCATTTCAAACGCATGGACCTTACCTAACATCACAGGTCGCACAAAGCATTGATATCTAATGACTGGCTAATGAACGCCTTTACTAATGTCGCTCTTATGATCGGAAGTCGCTGTGTCGCAGTTAACCCGCCGACTGGCCCCCCTCAGCAACTGCACTGATTGCATTTGCACCGCCACTAAATCGCATTAGCTTCACTGAGGAGCCTCGTGTGATCCGACAACCTGGCTCTGTGCTTCACCATTTCCACTTCAATCGAACGATATGCCGGGGATCTCCGTCCGTATGATCGAGCCGCTTGGTCGTCTCTGTCGTCGGTTCATAGAGGCGCGATCTACACGTTCCAAAATGATAATTGCTAAATGTACGGAAAGCAAAGATGAAAAGAGAACTTAATTTGTTGTAAATTTGAAATGTTTTTGCCATGACTGCTCTTTATACGAGCAAAATTTTAATTGGGCAGTTTAGCTCTAGCTCCCTTGATGTTACCTTTGCCGAGTTTGTTCGTCTCACCTCGTATCCTAAGATGTTTGTCGAATTCTATCCCCATCTTACTTTATAGATCAGAATCATGCCAAGGCTTACACTGTTGGATATTATGAGACAATGACGTCCATTGATTCATATTCAGCTTTAAAGTAATAGTGAATAACACAGCAAACACGGAGACAAAGGACGGAACTATTTTCTATTTTCAATTTGTGTTGCTGATTTTCTTATTTGTCACCCATTCTGCAGTAGGTTATTAGGCAGAATATAATGAGCTGTTTATATTCTGCAATGAGGCTCATTTGCGTCGGTTAGTAACGTTAATATTTTCCGTTGTGGGTTTGAATTAATATTTAGCATTATGCTTCTGGTTATCACATGACTCGCTCATCATTAAATTCCTTGTAAGAGGTGATTATAGAAATATATTAGATGACCGCATCAGTTGTAATATATAATATTATATAATATTCATAGAATATCGATAATATATGTTTTAGGATCAATATTGAACGCTCAATAGTTTTAAAATTGTCATGAATGGCCTCAGATTTAAATAGTCAAGCACTACGTAATGGACGTGCATTATGGTTACCTTATCATCGATGCTTGTCGAATTTAATGGACAACGTATTTCCGTAGTTCACTATTATGCCTATTTGCATATATTTTTTGATCGTTTATGGAGATCGTTTCGCATGCAAACTCAGTCGTTTTGCTGTCCACGCATTCTTAGCATTGCATTGCAATGGGGTTCGTGGGCTGCGGGCGTGGATCGTCTTGCCGTCACTCATTCGTTTGAGCCTCACTCCTACTTGCGAGTGCCACTCCTCCGTGTGACCGCCACTCCTCCATGCGACCGCCACTCCTCCGTGCGAGCGCCACTCCTCCGTGCGAGCGCCACTCGCCGCGAGCTCAGCACTCGAGCTAATAACGGCCGTCTCGCCGCTCTCGTAGATAATTGGCCGCGGGCTGTATTGTCGAGTGCTCTTCACATTTAATTGCGCAGATTAGAATAGGATTACCGGTGTTTTCAGCGGGCGTCAGGACAGGATATTTCTGTAAATTTCCCTCGGTAAAAGATAGCTGCTGCACATTTTTGCTTCCTAATGTAGTTTCGAGAAAACATTTACTGGCAATTTGATAGGTGAATTTATTTATTTACGTCGATTTACATTAAAAAAAGAAGCTTTTGTTTGTGAAAGTAATTTTCTCAGATTTAACTTTTTGTCTCAAATGTAAAAAAGTAAATATAAACTTGATCCAAAAGGTGAATATTAACTCCGTGACGCGAGTGATGGCTTAAGACCATGTGGCTTGAAATTCCTCGTAGACAGCAAATGCACCATAACCTGTTAACAAATCATGAATTTAAGAAACTCTTATTCATAATATTTTCTATTTATAAATATTTACAAATCAGTAATATAAATCACCTCTCTATGTGCTAAGTTTTCGTGGTGACGCAAAATTGTCGTTTTATTCAGGTTTTCAAGGAGAAGCTGTCAGTTCATTAATTAATATGTATCAGAAGATTTATTGCTCGTTTTGTGAACTCAGAATAACCCACTATTGCTCATAACCCATTATTTTTTTTTATAAACCCACTATATTTTCTAAAGATGTAAAACCTTGCAGCCATGACAAATTTTACGATAATTGGGAAAACACGTAATATTCATGGAGCTCTAATATTTCTTCAATACATATGTTAAAATATTATTTATCTATGCCGAGGAGTATTTCTGCACAGGATCTTTTTGGCATCGAAAGTGAGAAATTATTTAAAAAAATGATTTGTACGAAGAAAATATATTGGTGCAAAATTTCGAGATTTATCGTTTTGTACGCAAATGAAAGTCTAACAAGCAATAAATGCAAAGAAAGTGTTTTTTTCTAATATTATTGTCAGTCAGAAACTATAGCGTGGTCGCAAACAAAAATTTTCCCGAAACTTGTGGTTATTTTAATGGATAAACGAAAGAACACGCAGAAATTAAAAAAAAGTTTTGCTATGAGTGGGACGAGAATACATTGCGTATTAATTAATGATGTCAAAAGAGGTGAACATGCTCCATAGTTGCCAATTACGAGAAACATGGTTCCCCCCAGCGTTTCCCTGCGGTGAACATCGTTCAGTTAACAAGCTGTTCGTACTAGACCATTGAAATGTGGATGAGTAAATGACTAATAAGCTACACGTACTACAACATTGATAAGAGGATGTGCGGAGGATTTGTCAGTTATGCGTATACCTCATGTACATGTGGATATGAACTAATATGAACTAATTTATCTTAATAATATGATTTTGCTAACATGATTCTCTATCTCCTGTCAAAATTATTCGGCTTCAAGTCCGTTCGGATTTAAACGGTTCACAGATATTTACTACTTTTCCATTTAACGGCAAATTATTCTAGGAGTTCGAGCTAACCAAATCTTTTCGCTTGTGCGTCAACCAAGAATTGCTGTAATTATGTTATATTCGTGGAACTTCAGCCACTGACTTAGACAGAAATTTTTGTCACAAGCTTATATTTATGTTTTTCTTTCTCAAGCCCAGATTTCCTTTCCGTCATCACAAATGTGTTTAAAAGTTAATAAATCACATGCTAACCCAAGCCCATAAGAATACACCGAAACCTCAAATTATGCATGTTGTTAATCGATAGGTTTTTGTATATCTTAGCTTTTAGAGGTTTTTGGTTTTAAACTGTTAAGGGTATTTTCTTGTTTCCCTCATTGACTGTACTGATTTGTTTACATTTTTGAACCGATGATGGAGCTGGTTCCCAAAATGTTTTGACTGAAGATATCATGAATTTACTTGGCATTTTCTCTGCCTTTACATTTATGGGGAAAATGCGAGCAAAATAATTATACTTACTCAAGTACCTGAACTCAAGTTTCGAAATCTGGTAGGGGTGAAAAATCCCACGTGCCACCACATATGCATTTAAAGTCTTTGGTGTGTTGCTGGGTGAGACGTACACGGCGTGCCAAGACATTTAATGTAATGCCATTCTACTTATGACTTGTGGTCGCATGTGCCGTAAATAGCTTGCCGTGGCTCACTCATCTAATGCTAACCATTCCCTGGAATGCGTCATATAAAACCCACATATCTGAGTCAACCTAACTTAGACGTTAAGTAGGGCGAGACACGTATTATGCCACGGCAGACACGTATTATGCCATGGCAGACACGTACTATGCCATGGCAGACACGTATTATGCCAAGCTATCTTTGGCATGTTACAGGGTGTTACGTATCCCGCGTGCCACGGCATATGGCGCAACTGGGCACCACCTCTTGAGCGCTCCCGTCTCGCCACGATGGCGTTTTGTGGCAGTTACGCAGGTGCCGTGTTGGGCATGCCAGTGTCTGCCTACCTTACAGACTACATAGGCTGGCCTGCACCCTTCTACTTCTTTGGTGAGAACAATCAGCCTACCTCACAGACTACAATGGTGAGAACAATCAGCCTCCCTCACAGACTACATAGACTGGCCTGCACCCTTCTACTTCTTTGGTGAGAACAATCAGCCTACCTCACAGACTACCTAGGCTTTTTCTGCTTTTTTTGGAGTGGTAGGCTTCTTTACAAATTTCTTTGATTACAAAGGTTCAATACTAAATCTGCAACTGTCTGTAGAGCGGTGATATCATTTATTGACGGCGGTTGACATGTAGGCATATTGCTTCCATTTTACAAGCTCCAAACACGTATTTGACTACAATTATTGCACTTTATTTTAAGAAACAACAAGTTCGTATCTATTAATGAAATAATTCGATCACATTTTAAACTAGACGGCTCAAGGTAGAACTACAATTCTGCCGTACGTTGAATTTGAGTTCCGGGAGCAATAGTTTGGTCGTTCGGACTTTTGCAAAAGCTTTCAAGGTTTTGATGTCCTCTAAGCCGTATTTTCTTTCCAGTTGCGTGAATATACACTTACATTACTCCATTACCTTATTGTACATTAGTCGTTATTTTTTAATTCGTTGTCTGCGACTCTATTCGCGAACCAGCTCAAGCCCGAAAATCGTTATGTATCTGGATCACATTGAAAACAATATCAAACATATATGGCTCGCCTGTTTTGTTAACGACAGATTTAGCCTTTTCTCTTTGCATATTTAATTTACTTGGAAAATCAAAATCTGATTTGAAGTATCCAATGCACGGATATTCGACATGAAGTGAATAAATAATTAAATGATTGTCAATCCTAGATAATAAGGGAGATACTCAGTAGAGATATTAATAATGAAAGTTCGGCAGAATTTAGAATTTTCATCCGATAAATTTTAGAAAGGCTAAGGTGTTAAGGTGCTGTTTACTGAGTGCCTAATTTTTCCAGAAGGGGAATTTCATCGGAAAGTCTATCGTAATCAAGTTTCATAAATCTATGCTGATAGATCCAGATTCTAAGCCTCATTAATTATTTCTTTATCGTCACCAACAACGCATACCAGGAATGGTCGGCTTAGTGTGGCACTTCTTTTGGTATTGGCTGGCTTTCGAAAAACCAGCCACTCACCCAACCATCAGTGCCAGGGAGCATCACTACATCGAGAAGAGCCTGGGTGATCAGGTTAGTAGTAAAGTATCATTTTATAGTTTTATTTCGAAGAAAATTTCTTTTCCATTCTCGTGTGTGACACCAACTCATTGCTTTAGTTAGGATCGTTTAAATATTTTACAGAAATTGTGGAAAATGTCTAACTGTATTATTATTCTTTTCATCCAATAGCTATCTGCTAAGCTTCTCTTATTGTTATATTGCTCAACATACTGCATGAGTAACGCTCAAGAAAGAATATAACAACAAATCTAACACGTCATTTGGTTTTATGATAGAACTTTAATCATGGTTCTTGAAATAAGTTGAATAATCTCAATTCCGAAAATTAATTCACATACGGCCTATTTTTCTTGAAGTCAAAACAAAAAATTCCAACGTTTGCGACAACTCCTTGGCGAGCTTTTGCAACTTCGACGCCAGTGTGGGCCATCGTCGTGGCCAACATTGCTCGGTCATGGACATTCTACCTGCTGATCATCTCCCAGCCTACGTACTTCAAGGAGGTCTTCCACTACAATGTTGCCGAGGTGAGATTTGGTGTGGGATATGTTTGCACACTTCAAGGTCTTCCACTACAATGTTGCCGAGGTGAGATTTGGTGTGGGATTTGTTTGCACACTTCAAGGTCTTCCACTACAATGTTGCCGAGGTGAGATTTGGTGTGGGATTTGTTTGCACACTTCAAGGTCTTCCACTACAATGTTGCCGAGGTGAGATTTGGTGTGGGATTTGTTTGCATACTTCAAGGAAGTCTTCCACTACAATGTTGCGAGGTGAGATTTGGTGTGGGATTTGCTTGCATACTTCAAGGAAGTCTTCCACTACAATGTTGCGAGGTGAGATTTGGTGTGGAATTTGTTTGCGTACTTCAAGGAGGTCAGGGAGGAAGGAATTAAGAAATAACGTCATTGGATATATGTTTTTTTGCTCTAAATATTAGATGATTAATATGAGACAAAATATTAGATAGCCTTTATAATCCTTCAGGAATATAATTTTTATGAACTAAACTTAATATATAGTGCGAGCGGTGCCTCTCCAATACAGAGTGAAGACGGCGATATTTCAAAGGCTTAGTGCGAGATCAATGTCGCTATCCGAGTTAGGCGGCACCATCGATTTTCTTTGCAATGAATCAGTATTCCTGAGACGCCCGAGATCGGCGAGCGCTAAGCAGCTTTCGAAACGTTTTGGCGGAGCGTCTCAGAACTGCGTGCAGCGAGTATCTTAACTTTTATTTGCTTTGCTTATGCTTGATTGTTACGCTTCTTTTCCTCTAAAAATTTTAAATACTTATTAGGGGTACCAGCAAAATTTTGAATATCGCATTAATTTTTTTCTTATTTATTCATAAAGTTTTTACTATTATTACTTCTCAGGAAAGAAAGATTGCGATTGATGATATCCTTTCGAAATGAGCTTTATTTTTATTTACGGACCTCAAACAACAAAAATTACTAATCAATCGTAATCTTAATTCTAAAATATATACCTTACATATCGGTGTATCTTAAATTGTTACGTTCATCATTTTTTAGAAACAATACGGTACATCTTAAAGTCACCATTTCTTTAAACTAAAAGTTCACAGCAGCAGTCTTTAGATTAAATTGCAGTAAATCCTAATTATTTTCATTATCAGGCGGTTTCAAAAAACCTCGAACTTCCCTAATTATGAAACTCATAGCAGTTAGCAAGTCCCTCGAAACTATTGTGAATTTGTCGCCTCTATATATGTAGTGTATATATACACAACGTCGTATTCCAGTAAAATGTTATTTGATTACCTACTTTTTGATCATCAAGCACCCGCAAGAAATTTTGATATAGTTATTGAAAAATAGAAAATTCTTTATAAAAAGCTTGCTCTGGTCTTCAATCAAACCTACATAAATGAAGAACTTCTGCCTAACTACGCTAATATATAGTGTAGTTAGGTATATAGGTATACACTAATAATGTGCATACCTGCTATGTATGGCCCAGAGCGGCACGCTGTCGGCACTCCCTCACCTGGTGATGGCCATCGTGGTGCCCTTCGGTGGCCAACTGGCTGACCACCTCCGCAAGAACGGCATTCTGTCCACCACCAACGTGCGCAAGGTCAGTGGTTCGCTTATGCCGTACACTCAGAGCTATGAGTGAGACTTTGTCCAATTATCGATACACGTTTTACACTTCTGTAGGTCATCCTGACCCATGACCCAGCAAAGAGGCGCATCCGTGCTACGTCCGCACTCTGTACTTGCAATGGTCACTATAGTGTGTCACTATTTGAACAGCATGGCCCATTCATTTTTAGGAGTGTTGTTTGGCGTTGGGTTATTTCTAGATAATATAATTATATAATATATATAATATATTATAATATATAATTAATTATGGTATAATTATGGCATATAATTTGGCGGTATAATTTAGTAGCTATTAATTATGGCAATAAGTGGGATTTGTAAATAAGGTGTAAATTCAGTTTTATACAGTAATTTATAAATTGAGGACGAACTATGAGGTGCTCACACATTTGGATTGTCACCTTTAATTCTTTTTGTTATAGACAGCTGTAGAGCATTAATTTGCATTATTTTGAAGTTTAATCATATTGATAACGGTTATCGCGAACGCAATAAGTCCGGTTTCCATCCGATGTATTCATGGACTGAATCTTGGTTAAAGTAAAACTCAGTTAGCTTTCAACTTTCGATGACTCTTTCGTTATTAGTACACGTACATAGCTACTGTGTTCAACTGTCGTTGGATACTATACTTGATCCTCAAACATAACTCAGGCATACACATATACTATCATCATACTGGTAGTACTGATATGACTGATCAACATATTACTGATTGTTATTAACAAATGATCGCAAGTGCACCATTGGGAGCATTCATTGGGGTCGAACTTGGGACCAGCTTACGATCCTACTTACTAATGAGTCAAACTTACTATCTTAATTACTCATAAGTCAAACTCACGATCTTACTTACTAATAAGTCAAAATTATGATCTTAGTTACTGATAATTAAATTTACGATCCTACCTACTTACTAAGTCAAACTTACGATCTTAATAATAAGTTAAACTTACGATCTTACTAACTTACGATCTTACTGATAATTCAAACTTACGACCTTACTCCTAATAGGTAAAACTCACGATATTACTTACTAATTAGTCAAACTACGATCTTACTGACTAATAAGTCAAACTTACGATCTTAGTTACTCATAATTCAAACTTATGATCTTACCAATAAATCAAACTTACGATCTTACTTACTAATAAGTAATAAGTCAAACTTACGATCTACTGAAAAGTCAAACTTACTATCTTACTAATAAATCAAACTTACGATCTTTCTAATAAGCCAAACTTACGATCTCACTTACTGATAAGTCAAACTTACGATCTTACTTACTATCAAACTTACGATCATACTTGCAAATAAGCCAAACTTACGATCTTACTTACCAATAAGTCAAACTTACGATCTTACTTACTAATAAGTCAAACCTACGATCATACTTACTAATAAGCCAAACTTACGATCTTACTTACCAATAAGTCAAACTTACGATCTTGCCTACTAATAAGTCAAACGTACGGTCATACTTACTAATAAGTCAAACTTACGATCTTACCTATTAATAAGTCAAATTTACGATCTTACTTACTAATAAGTCAAACTCACAGTCTTACCTACTAATAAGTCGAACTTACGATCTTACTAATGAGCCTAACTTACGATCTTACTTACTAATAAGTCAAACTTACGATGTACTTACTAATATATCAAACTTACGATCTCTCTGATAATTTCGCCTGCGTGTGCCCAGATCTTCAACTGCGGAGGGTTCGGCATGGAGGCGCTGTTTCTGCTCGGCGTGGCGTACGCGCGGAGCAGCGTGCTCGCCATCACCTGCCTCACCATCGCCGTCGGCTTCTCGGGCTTTGCCATATCAGGTCACTGAAACTTGTGTTTTAATTCATTTGTATTTAATTCATTTATTTCATTAGTCATTTGTTGATTTGATTCAGTATGTTGATGATTCAATTCATTATGTTGATGATTTGATTGACTATGCTGATTATTTGAATCATTATGTTGAGGATTTGATTCATTATGTTGAGGATTTGATTCATGATGTTGATGATTTGAATCATTATGTTGATGATTTGATTCATTATGTTGATGATTTGATTGACTATGCTGATTATTTGAATCATTATGTTGATGATTTGATTAATTATGTTGATGATTTGATTAATTATGTTGTTGATTTGATTCATTATGTTGATTATTTGAATCATTATGTTGATGATTTGAATCATTATGTTGATGATTTGAATCATTATGTTGATGATTTGATTCATCATGTTGATGATTTGAATCATTATGTTGATGATTTGAATAATAATGTTGATGATTTGATTCATTAGGTTGATTATTTGAATCATTATGTTGATTATTTGAATCATTATGTTGATGATTGGAATCATTATATTGATGATTCAATTCATTGTGCTGATTATTAGAATCATAAGGTTGAGGATTTGATTCATTATATTGATGATATGATTAATAATATTTATGATTTGATTCATTATGTTGATTATTTGAATCATTATGTTGATGATTTGAATCATTATGTTTAGGATTTGATTCATAATGTTGATGATTTGATTCATTATGTTGATGATTTGAATAATTTTGTTGATGATTTGAATCATTTGTTGATGATTTGAATCATTATGTTGATTATTCAATTCAATATGTTGATGATTTGATTCATTATGTTGATTCAATTCATTATGTTGATGATTTGATTCATTATGTTGATGATTTGATTCATTATGTTGATGATTTGATTAATTATGTTTATGATTTGATTCATTATGTGCATGATTTGATTCACGATGTTGATAATTTGAATCATCATGTTGATGATTTGATTCATTATGTTCATGACTTGATTCAAGATTTGATCTATTTATTCCTTTTTATCATTATAATTCTTCATCATACTACGAGTCCAGATCAATGGCCATATTGCGGTCACATTCCTGACATCTGTCGTTGTATTAACATTGAAATAAATGTTGTTTGGCCGAATCAACAAATGTTTTTTCAACATCTTTTGCCGGCTGGGATATAGTCAGTTTGAGTTCACCAAGAATTTGAAAGCAAAGAAAACGCCCGGTCCCCGAATTTTCTAAATGAAGATATACTAAAATTATTTGCCGTTTTCTTTGTTTATTTGTTTCCCAGAAAATCATGATTACAATGAAAGACTTTTGTCTCTCTCTCTAAATCTGGGCAAATTAAGCTAACAGGTTTAAAATTTGTCCTATTCTTGCAAATATAGGATATATTTTCATACCTTTAAACTTGAACGTTACTGACTTAGAACGATTGTTATGCAATTTTGCAACGATTGCACTCTGCAAAGATTGTTATGCAATTTTTATAGATATTTGAACTTCATCGTTTAAAAAGATAGACTTATGTGAACTCCCCAAGCATTCCATGTAACAGAAAAATCTATGAAAAAATAACTCACACATTAAAATTTTAATGAAAGACTCTGTGATTCCCGTACCCGCAGAAATATATGCGCATAATATTTGACTATTTTTTTTATTAAATTAGCATACATAATTATTATTCTTGCTGTTGAATTTGCGTTATGATTTTGACTTCTGACGGACGCGGTGGCTATTCTATATTTAATAATTAACTGTGATATAAATAAAAAAAAAACAAAAAAAATATTGGAAGACATCAGTTAGTGTTCCACCCCTGCCACCCCGACTGTAACAATTGGAGCATCAATAATACAATTCTAACAGTAACTTGCAGAAGTTACGCTTACTGTTACTTCTATCCCTAAAAATAAAGTTCTAAATGTAACTTACAGCCCTAACAATAGAACTCTAACTGTAATATGGAACATCGTCAATATAATTCAAACTGTAATCTTAGCCCCGACAATACAAACCTTAACTTCAGCTTGGAGCTTCAACAATTCAACTCTAACTTAAACTCAACAATACAACTCTAACTGTAACTTAAAGCCCTAACAATGAAACTTTAACTGTAATATGGAACATCGACAATGCAATTCAAACTTTTACCTAAGCCCCGACAATACAAGCCTTTACTTCAGCTTGGAACTTCAACAATACAACTCTAACTTAAAGTCAACAATACAACTCTAACTGTAACTTAAAGCCCTAACAAAGAAACTCTAACTGTAATATGGAACATCAACATATGAAATTCTAACTGCAACTTGAGCCCCGACAATACAAACCTTAACATCAGCTTAGAACTTCAACAATTCAACTCTAACTTAAACTGAACAATTCAACTCTAACTGTAACCTAAAGCCCTGACAAAGCCTGCATTACGGCGCTCAGGCCTCTCGTGTCCTCTATTGCTTCCATGGCGCGCTTGTCGTTGACAATAAGCGACGTCGCGCCTCAATTTCCTGTCTGAGGCCATCCTTCTTACGAGGCTGTCATGGCGCCAGCAACCTCGTGGCTATTGGCAACACAATTCTGACATTTATAGAAGTTCGGGAATATTTGGAATTAGGAACATTTTGGTGATTTGACAGTTTCTAATACAAATTTCTGACTGACTCTTTTAGCCTAGAGAAGTTCGAGAATATTAGGAATTAAGGATATTTTGGTCATTTGACAGTTTCTAGTACGCATTTTTGACTAACTCTTCTAGCATATAAAAGTTCGGAATATTAGGAATTAAGGATAATTTGGTGATTTTACATGTTCTAGTACATATTTCTGACTGACTTATAAAAGTCAGAAAGCCTATAAAAGTTCGGGAATATTAGGAATTAAGGATATTTTGGTGATTTGAGAGTTTATAGTACGCATTTCTGACTGACTCTTTTAATTTATAAAAGTTTGGGAAAATAAAGATATTTTTCAGATGAACATCAATGTTGTTAGTAGCTTAAAAATTGGGATTGTTAAACTGGTAATGTGTTATAATTAATGCTGGTCAGAAATGTGACAATGTCAAATCCGATTAATTAGCAACATTCATGGTTTAAAATATCAAACTGAAATGTTTCTAAAAGGTTCTGTTAATTGTTTTTTTTTTCGCTATGAGGATATTCAGTGTCCACGTTTAACATAAAATTCTTTGGTGTTTAGAAATTGCATCCGGATTACAATTCTAACACAAATGATACATCATTACTAAGTGTAATCAAACTGAACAGCAATATATTCATCCTCAGTAGAAATCAACAAATAAAAAAGTTCATTGCTTGATTCTCATTATGAACTCAAATTAAATTAAACATTTCTCTGTGTCAAAAATTTTCCAGGTGAAGAATGTTAGTCTCTTTTTCCTACATCTTCATTCACTCATGCATTTGCGCTTCATGATCTCCCGTACACCTTCGTTCCGTTCCCCTCTCTCCTTCCCTCGTTCCTCCCTCCCTCGCCCCGATCCGCTTTACCCTGCCCCATTCTCCCCCTCGCTCGACCCATTTCCCCTCCCCACCCTCCGCCTTTCCAGTCGCTCAGTTCCCTTTCCCTCACCCCGCTCCCACTTCCCCTTGCCTTGCTCCCTCCTCCCCTCGCTCTATTCCCTCTCCTCTCACCCCGTTCTCCCCCTTCCCTCACCCTATTCCCTTGCCCCGCTCCCACCTCCCCTTGCCTTGCTCCCTACTCCCTTCGCTCTATTCCCTCACCCCGTTCTCCCCTTTCCCTCACCCTATTCTCTTGCCCCCCTCCATCCTGCCCTCGCTCTATTCCCCCTTATCTCACCCATACTCCCTCTTCCCTTGACCCCTTGCCCCGCTCCCTCCTCCTCCCCTCGCTCTATTCTCCCTCCCCTCACCCTTTTCTCCCTCTTCCCTCACCCCATTCTCTTGCCCCCCTGCCTCCTCCCCTCGCACTATTCCCCCTCCCCCACCCTTCTCTCCCCTTTCCCTCACCCCACTCCCCCTCCCCTCGCTCGCTAATAGCCGAGCAGTTATTGCTGCAGCGTCCCGACGGAGCGTTTTGCGTTGCCATGACGACGCTTCTGATCCGATTTATCCGAGTTTGATTCTCTAATGACGGATGAGTGGCGGAGTGGCGGGGGACTGGCGGCGGTGGAGTGGCCGGTGGAGTGGCGGGGACTGGCGGGGGTGGAGTGGCTGGTAGTGGAGTGGCGCTGTCTCTTATACACATCTAGATGTGTATAAGAGACAGCTTCAAGGTCTAAACCGCAGAACAGAAAACCGATGGTGGCAAACTTTTGAGCATAAAATACACGATTGCGCAAGCAGATTGTCAATCGTTAACCAGAATTAAACGCACTAATTGCACTGAAAAAATAAATTAAGAAGAAAACCATCGAACGTGTTGAGGCCAATTCAGCGAATATCAAGACAAATTTGCAAATGATTTTCATGAATGTAATGAGACATCAAAGTGGAAGGAAAGCGAGGTTAGAGCGCTGAAGAATCATTCCATAGACCGGCACTTTGGGGAAGCTTGTGACTTGAACATGGTTTTGCAACACCGCTTTGCAGCATAAATGAGCCGTAATTATGAGCNCCATCATTATCATTTTATCATTCATTTCTATAATTTATTTCGCCAGTTCACCTAGTTATTCGTACCATCATTATCATTTTATCATTCATTTCTATAATTTATTTCGCCAGTTCACCTAGTTATTCGTACCATCATTATCATTTTATCATTAATTTCTATAATTTATTTCGCCAGTTCACCTAGTTATTCGTGCCATCATTATCATTTTATCATTTTATAATTCATATCTATAATTTATTTCGCCAGTTCCTTACCTATTATTATCATTATATCGTTGTTATAATTTATTTTGCAAGTTCAACAAGCATTTAATACATACCTATATAATTTTTATAATCATATCACAAGTTCAAGAAGAATTTAAATGCAGAGAAAACGCCCAGTAAATTTATCAAAGCTTCAATGAATGGAGAGGATGTGAATAAATGTTGCATTATATATAAAATATGACGACTTTACCGGGCGTTCTCTTCGCTCTTTTGATTCTAGGCACCTTATACTTGTAATATAATCAGCAATTCTTTGGGATGTTCATCAGAGTTTCTCAGAATTATTTTATGAGAAGTAGGACTTCTGAAAAAATTTGACCAGCTGGCGTCTCGCGCGTATAAAGAGATAGGTTTTACTGAATGACATTCTGCTTCTATCCTGGAGCCACAGAATATTTCCTTGTTTCTCTGTATTTCAGACTTATGTGACTTCTTTACTTTAATCCATTAAGATTCAAGAAATTGTTACCACAGTGAGGAGTGACATGCAAATCGCATAATACTCATACTAACAATAAGCTCAACAACGGGATTTCGGATTTTAGTTAAAATTAAGTACGAAAATGTAAACCTTGTTACGAATAAAAAAATTTGGGGTAAATTTGGAACTGATAAGAGGCGTGAGGTGTGAAATTCAGAAGCAGTTGATGGGAGCGTCTTCAAGGCCAAAAGCGCTGATCCGGTCTTTAGAAAGACCGCCTCCCGCGGGACAGGTTCTCATTTGCGGCGCGAGCGCTCCGTGGAGTTTTCTCAGGTAGAAAATAAGGTGCGATCCCCTGAGACTTGCGGGGTCTTTGTGGAAGTCAGGGCTGTCCTGAGTGGTTGGGACTTTTAGATTGGAATAAGATGAGGAAATACGTTAAGGAAGGTTTTATTTAATATGGAATCGAGATGCCAGTTCCTAAGGGTGAGATTTCTTGAATAATTATAATCCAAAATTTTTTTGATTAATAAAGCGTGAGATTGTTGTGCATCACAAGGAAAAATATTGCAATAAATGGTGCTACCGTTGTTCAATAATTCAACAGAGCAAGAATTAAGATGGACCTAGATTAAGTAACTCTTATTTTAAATTCAATAATGCGTTTATCTCCTGTTAGTAGTATGCATTTTGCTACAATGGCATCGCAGTTCCCACAATAAGCCTTCGGGATTAAATGAAATTAGATTTAAGTGTAGTAGTAAATGAAAAGATGGAGTTCCAAATAATTTGTTCAAAAGTTAAATTATATTCGAAGTCAATAATGTCCCAGTCCCAATTTAGGCAAGCGTACGCACATATACGGTCTTTTTTTATAATTGGGGTTAAGACTTGTGGCGACAAAAGCGCCCACCAGCCTGATCTCTGTCAAAAACATATACGGTCATTTCAGTCGAAAGACGAGTGGCAGAGGGTGTTTGTGATCACATCCATGATTCATTTCAGTCGAAAGACGAGTGGCAGAGGGTGTTTGTGATCACATCCATGATTCATTTCAGTCTGCAGACGAGTGGCAGAGGGTGTTTGTGATCGCATCCATGATTCATTTCTTCGGCATTGCTTTCTACGCCGTCTTCGCATCAGGCGAGCTCCAGCCCTGGGCCGCAGATGATGAAGACGTCGAGCCGCCACAGGCAGCGGTGAGTTGGCCGCGGGTCGCGGCCCAGCATCTATGTTTTGTGTTTTTGAAATTTCATTTATTGTGGTGAATGTCGTAGAACTGCAATATATTATTGTCATTTTATTCTTTTCTCATATTGCTAAGAAAAATAAAATTAGTATTAAGCAATAAAATCAATTAAGTAAATTTCAGGACGTTCAAATACCCGTGTACCGGCAGATCACATCGGATTCTGTTGACGCCAACGGCCTAGCGACGTACGGTACAATGGTCGGGGACGGTCAGTACGTGAGCTACGACCCCGACATGTCGCAGGGACTTCCTCCTCAAGACGTGCAGCCCCAAGGCATCTTCCCCCAAGCAGGTCCCTACACCCAGGACTCGTGGGGAGATCCTCCCCCAGCGCCGATGGACAGCTATGGGCAGGTGTGGCAGCTGGGGAACAGGAAAAAATTTCCGTTTATTTTTAAAAGTAAAATATGTCGATAATTTTTCTCTTCGACTACCAGGAAAATTATTTAACACAGGAAACTAAAAAAAACGAAGTCAACATTTTCTTAAACGGCACTTTTTTCTTAAAATGACGAAAGTTTTTTCTCACAAATCACCAATAATACGCCGGGTTAATGAACTAACTGATTATTTTTTACTTATTTATCTATAATCATCAGACCATGAGGTTTTTGGGGACGTATATCTTGCTGCAACAAGATTGTGTTTTACAGGACCCGTTGGGTGCCAACCCAAACAACCCATTCACTGGAGTGGACGCCAGCAATTATTCTGCATCGGGCCAAGCTCCTCCTCATACGCAGTTTGCTGTGGGTCCTTATTAAGTCTGACTCAGGCTGGTGGCTTCCAACGACTTCACAGGTAAAGTTTTCGAATCATGAGATGCCAGCTGATCATCAATCATTGCGTACGCTCGCACAGTCATCGGGTGCCTTTATAATCAGGCGCTTTCTAAGCGTATCGGGTGATCGCGTCTTCAATATACTCATATCCTTTATGTTGTACTCGTTACTCGCGTACAGTTTTCATCTTGTAGAATTGTCTAATTACTTATCAGACTTATGTTAAACGTATTCGTCCACACCGCATATCTGAGATTTGTTATTCATGTTGTTCAGCTGTGTCGTTTAGTGACATCTTCTGTGGCGGAAAATTCATCGCGTCGAGACCAGAGAAGAATTAAGCCACACGCGCACCTGCCTTCTTCTTGAGAGAACGACAGGCTAACGACCGCACACTCCAACGACTCCTGTTATCGGATGCTTCGACATGACGAGACATCGGGAACAAGTGAATGACGAAGGTCTCGGAATCGAGAAAAGTAAATAATTAAATAATAAAAATTCAAATGAAGAAATACACAATTGTACGTGGAAAAGTGACTCCAACGACTCCTGTTATCGGATGCTTCGACATGACGAGACACCGGGAACAAGTGAATGATGAATGTCTCGGAATCGTGAAAAGTAGATATTAAAAATTCAAATGAAGAAATACACAATTGTACGTGGAAAAGTGACTCCAACGACTCCTGTTATCGGATGCTTCGATATGACGAGACACCGCGAACAAGTGAATGATGAAGGTCTCGGAATCGAGAAAAATATTAAAAATTCAAATGAAGAAATACACAATTGTACGTGGAGAAGTGACACGCGTTGAGGCAGGAAGCGTGATAGAAACAAAAGTTTAAACGGAAATAGTTGAAAATTATCTTGTCGCATATTCGAGATTATATCGCCGAAATATAGAAGTTCAGAGTTAAATACTAACCTAGAAAAAGTAACATCTATAGAATAATTGGGTTTTGATGGGCAAAATCCACAATGATAACATTTAAAATCTACGCGCAAAAGTTTGTTAAAACTGAATTGTCTCGTAAACTCCGGTAATTAATCAAGCGCAGAATTCTACTTCAAAGAGTTACCGATAGGAAATTTTGACATTTCAATATTAGTATGGCTTTTATATTAAACGAATACGATGGAGTTTTAATGAAAGATTATTAAATACGAGACGTCAAATAAAATGAACAGGCGCTGTTTTTAGCAAGTTTTCATCACGGCTCACTCGCGCATCAGAGTGATGCAATAACACCTGCTTCGTTGCACCGTTGTAACATCTTCATGTTTCTTGTAACATCTTCATGTTTCGGGAGAAAAGTTGGCTGTGTGTTAAATGTAATTACTTCCTATGTTGAAAATTATTGAGATAATTCATTCATGTTATAGGCGGAATTAGAACTGGAGACCAGACCCTCAAGAGAAATTAGACTTATCGTGTCCCTAAGGCTATCATAATTGAATATTAAGGGTACCGAAACATGACCATTGCAGATCAAAATTTGAATTAGTAATTTGAAAATTTGAAGTTAGTAATTGCAGGACAATGAAAGGCATAGAATTGCAAGCAAATGAAGCCCATGGGTTGGAGCAGAGATGACGCCTGCCCGCATGTCCACCGAATTGCTCAGTTGAGGTGTATTCGAAAGGAAAAGAAATAAATAAAATTGTTGCCCATGCAGATTACGCATGATTATTCACTGAACAACCGCCATGAAATAAATTTTTGAGATGATAACAGAAACTTCTGAAATTTGTATAGTTTATTAAAGAAATGGACGTGGGAATTCATCTAAAAACATTAAGTACTCAATATTTTACGTACGCTGTACAGTTACGGACAATATAAATTCGAAAAATATCATTATCTGATATGCTGTCTGTGTCAGAACGACCTGACTGATTATAGTGCGAGAGTGTAATTTCAACAAAAATTTCTATTCATGCGCTGATATCGATGTTTTAATAAACTAGAATGGATTTTTCGAATGGATTCGAAATTTCGAATGGACTCGAATTACGAAAAAGAATGGATTTTTCGAAAATAAGTATCTCCCAATCTTATTGTTCCGTGATCCTCTATGGTGGAAATATTAATAGTGTTTTAGATGCCATCTTTGGAAGCAAGTGTTGTGTATCATATAGAAGTGTTAGTTTCTAGTTGAAGTGTGTGCATGTTACAATTTGCAATAATAGTCGAGTGCTTGCTATGTTGAATGCCCACATGAAGGCTCCTTCTGTGATCTCTGAAGTAGTTAGATTTCTTGGAATCGTAACTTCAATTATTGACTTCAATTATTTCTTCAATTACTTCTTGTAACTGAAGAAAGAAACTTCAATTATTTCTTCAATTACTTCTTGTAATTGAAGAAAGAAACTTCAATTATTTCTTGGAATCGTAACTTCAATTATTGACTTCAATTATTTCTTCAATTACTTCTTGTAATTGAAGAAAGAAACTTCAATTATTTCTTGGAATCGTAACTTCAATTAATGAGTAATTGAAGAAAGAAACTTCAATTATTTCTTGGAATCGTAACTTCAATTATTGACTTCAATTATTTACGATTAAAAAAAATAATTGATGTTTCTTTCTTCAATTACAAGAAGTAATTGAAGAAAGAAACTTCAATTATTTCTTGGAATCGTAACTTCAATTATTCAACGACGACAGGAAATTTCGGCAAACTTATCAAGAAAAGCAGCGTGCGTTTTAAATCACACTTTCGACGCGTTTTGGTGGCGTTTTTTAACAATAAACTTGAGTTAAACGAATAAGTTTACATGATTTAAATTACTAAATACTTTGATTTACACTGAAAAGTAAAATAGGTTGTAGACCAATCCTGATTAGCTGCCTATTACGTTCAAGTTTGGGATCCTCATTCTGTTCGCGAATATTATTATTGTTTAATTGTTGACAACTCCGTATACAAAAAATCGTGTAAACTAACAGTACTAAAACAACACAGAAAACAAAAGGAACTCTCCAGCGATGAATTTTTGATGTCTTTTTTGTCTTTGCTTTGAAAAACTTAAATTTACTTGTAATTTTTCCGCAAATGTAAAATAATTCTCATGCCTTTTCTGATTTAATATTATTTAATGTACCTAATTGCTGATTGAGATTAATTTATATGTTTAAATTTAGGCAGATAAGCCGATTAGTTGAAGATGACATATTGGTTAAAAAAAGCATTATAAAGTTTGTGTTGCTGATAGATATTCTCATTTACGGCAAGTTTCGGGTAGAGGTGTCAGTGCATTACGTTTGCGCTGCAAACAGTGACGTGTGACGCTTGACCGCGCCAGACGCGTGAATCTTGCGGTTGTTTTCGGACACAACTGCTGGAATCTTCATATAAATATCTTAGATTAAATCTTGAGTTTTGCTGTAATTCGAACGCGAACTCAACATTTAAACTGAACCATGAAATAAATCCACGAAAATGGTTTCGATTGATGTACCGAAAATGTTCATTCACAATTGAATTAAATTGGAATACCACAAAAAATTTCAGATCTCGAACGGAAATTTTGATGAACTAGATCATTTACTAACAATGAACTAGATTAACAATGATGAACTAGATCATTAACTCTAATATTCCTATGGCATTTGTTTGATTATACATATAGAATCGGGATGCATAGACATAATTTTTTTATTATATAATTCATAGTTGATGGCATTTATTATAACATAATTGATTTTGGCGCATAAAGTTGATGTTAGATTCTCCTTTTATTTCGTAAACGTGAATTATGCGCGAGTATTCAGGTATTAACAGGCGTTATCGTGGCACATAAGTGTCATGGTTTATCTGTAATTGATTTCAAAAGTTTAGTCTCCGCTGTCTGTTATGTTTAACTGGAAGAGCGGGAATATGAGATTTTGATATTTGATTCGTGTAACTTTAGTGAAATTATTTATTGAAGTATTTCTCTAAAAAAGTGGTATGAGGCTGCGAGCCACACGTAGAGTTCATTAGTTCATAAGATTATTATTTGTGAATTTTTTGCTAGATGTGTAATTCTTGTGTATTGTAGAGTTTAGGTTATTCGATTGCTCGTGCGTACGGATGGAGTGATGCTACGAAGTCCAAATCTGTTGTCGATGCGGACATGAAGATCTGAAAGTTCCTAGATCTGAACTCTCCTAGTGAGAACACCAGTTCTATGTAGCTGCGGTTGATAAGAAAAATGTAACGAGAGATTAAATGTTATTTTTAAAAAGTTAAGGGACGTAAGGGATAGCAATGTATTTGCGAGGACAAGCAATGGAGTTTTCTTCATCTTAAAATCACAAAAGTTACCATGACAAATCAACGCAACATGACGGTCGAGTAGAAATGTGCAGAATTAAATCAGCTTCCTCTTTTACTGTCCAATTGTTGCCGGTTTGCAATTTTGTAGGCAATGAATTTTTATTTCTTCACGACCATGTTTTTGCAGCCAGATGCCGCGTGAGTACATCTTAAAACTAACACATTCTGCTTCTCTTAATAAACATAATTATTTCATTTATTATGTATTGCATGATATATTAAAGAGTGCGATTGCAATTGTAATTGTGCCTGTAATCTAATTCAATATTTATGTAGGGACTGGTGGCAATTTTAAATGTCACGCCACAGGTCGAATGGGCTAGTCTGTTTCTCTAGATGGTATGAGTTCCACTCAATGCATCCTCAGCAGACTTATATCCCTGACTGGTATCGATTTAAAACGGCATTTTATTCTGTAATAAGAGGTGCAAATTTTTAAGGAATAGCTGCATCGCCATGAAAAATTTGAGACTGCTATTATATTTAAGGCCGCGACACACCTTCATTTTTTTAAAAATGAAAGTCCTAAAAAGTTAAACAAATGACTTATTCAAACTAAAATTATTAATGAGGATTAAAATGACTTCCTGGGAACATCCTAGCCATTGTGAGGGCACACGGCCTAAAGGAAGACTGGCTTGGTGAGTCACGAGT